TGATATTACGCAGCGCCTGAAAATAGGCTAACTTCCGTCAACATAACCAACGTGACCACCTGCTTGCACAGGGAGCGTGCTGGGGACTATTTTCAGGCGCTGCGTAATATCATTGCGCCTGCTGCACCCATGGTACGTTAGCAAAGTTCCTTGATTATTACACCGGAATGAGAGTATAGTATAGAAAATCGCAATTTTTCATTTTCCGTCGGTCTTAGTACACGATGTAACTACAGAAGAGTCAAGTTTTAAATAGGAAAAATATCAAAACGCTTTGGTCATTTTATTCATGCTAACGGTCTAATCAGATTCAATGATCTATGCTAAGCTACAGCTAAAAGTGCTACGCCAGACCCAGAGATCGGCTGAATGGATTCGAAAACGGTAAAACTCAATTGTTTAACTCTAGGGGAGATGGAAAATGAGCCTATTAAATGAGCCTATTAAGTGTTCCTTTAAATGTGTGGGAAATATTCCTGTATAACAGAGAGGTTGTTTTCAGCTTAATATCTGTGACCTGCATCTGTATTTATCTGTTTGCTTTTGTGTTATTAATGCTCCTTTAGCCCAGTTTCACCTCTAGTTCGGTCACATCTGGATCGTGTTTAAGTACCTCAGACTCTGCAAATACTCCGTGGAACATGGGTGAGAGATCATGAGTTTAGTCATAGATTACATTTCAGTGCTAAGTGTTCATGAAAGACACAAAGTTTACATTGTGTACCTCTGTCACACCAATTTTTTCCCTCTTGTCTGGCTTTGTGACACAACCTGTATGTTTGACTACAGAGTTGCCTGTTGATTGGTTTAATGGTTATTGATTAACAGAAATGTTTTATGAATGTTTTATAAATTTTAAATTTGTGTAATTAATCAAATTAATTAGTTTTTCATAATAATGAAGATAACAACAATAATGAAGATAATAATAATAATTGTTGTTGTATTATTTATATATAATCATAATAATAATTTATTATTATTTGGCATGTGATTAATAGTAAATTATATAAATTAGTTAATATAAAATTTCAGATTATGATGATGATTATTATTATGCGTGTAAACAAAAAATTCATTATAGTAGGATTAGTATTATTATTATATTATTTAAAATATTATTATTATTGGTTTTAGTATTAGTAGTATAATTGTAATAATATTGTAATATTATAAACATGTTTATACTATTAATATTATTATTTATAAATAAAACAACAGCAATAATAATAATTATTGTAATTAATAATTATTATACAATAACATATCTAATAATTATTATTAACTATATACTAATTATTATATAATAATAATAATCTGTATTACTATACATTTACTTATTACCTATAAATTACATTAAAGGGGTCATATGATGCGATTTCAAGTTTTCCTTTCTCTTTGGAGTATTTACAAGCTCTTGGTGCATAAAGAAGATCTGTAAAGTTGCAAAGACTAAAGTCTCAAATTCAAAGAGATATTCTTTATAAAAGTTAAGAGTCAGCCACGCCTACCTAAAACGGCTCTTTCTAACACGCCCCCACATATCTACGTCACTATGTGGAAATATTAGCATAATGCCGCCCAAATGTGCACGCAAAGAAAGAAGGCGTGGTTTCAGTAACCGCAGTTAGTGTTGATGCAGCCGTGTCAGGGAGACGCTGTGTGTTTCTAGGTGAAAGCAAAAGCACTTTATTTGGCCTTCCGGAAGTAGATGCATTTAGGATTCATTGGTTAACGTTTATTTACAATAGAACAGCACAACCCAGATGTTCGAATTTGTGCAACGCATTTTATAGTTTTTTTTTAACCTAGAAGAGTACAAGGCTGGCTGTGCACAAAGGCTATTTCTAAAAAAAAAAAATTCAGATTTTTTTTGGTAAATTCCGAATTTGCTATGACAATCTGGCGCTTCTGAATCAGCGACTGTAAGTATGTTTTGTTATTAGTTTACGTATTTGCTATTGACTGTTCAAATGCGGAGTTTTGCGCAGCGCAGAGTAATGCGTCGTGTGTGTGTGTGTGTGTGTGTGTGTGTGTGTGAGTGTGAGGGGAACAGGGTCACATCACAGGAGAGTGAACTGTCTGTCAGAAATCATAGCACGTCAGCTGTCTTAACCGCGGCTTGTGTACTGCATCATCACTGTGTCTGTCACACGACTCTGTTGCCCTTTCGGGCTTGAACTGATGGTAAAACTAACGACATTATTAACTGTCTTGATATTTACTTTGAAAGCTGATGCTCGCGATTATGGTAAGGGGCGTTACATTTCCGACGAGTGCTTGTGGTGTTCGGCCAATCACAATGCACTGGGTCAGCTGGCCAATCAGAGCAGACTGCGCTTGTCGGAAGGAGGGACTTTGTAGAAAACGAAGCGTTTGAGAGAGGCGGGGCATAGAGGACCTACAATAATGTACAGTGTTTGAAAAATAATGTGTTTTTGAACATTAAAGCATGTCAACATATTCTGTTACACCAAATACACAAAATAATGATCTTTAAAATAGCATCATATGACCCCTTTAATATTGTTTTCAGAATTAATGACTATATTTATACCCAAACTGTTACACGTATCATATTACATAAGATATTTTTTAGATTCCAGATCCCAGTTGTTCATGTTTGTTTTTCCCTTACAGTTGCATGTTTTTTTTGATAATTCAAATGAAGTGTACCAAAATTATTCTGCATCATGACAAAAAAGTTTTATTTATGAATCGTAATAGAACTGTTAGAGCAAACTTTCCAGTCATTGTTGTGTAATATTACTCTTTCATCTTTCAGGTGGACGTGAGTCAGAACATGCTCCCCCCTGGGGAGAATCATCTCCGGATGACTATCGCTATGCCAACCAGATATACACAGACCCCCGAGAACGAGAAAAAGAACAACACGACATGAACAAACGGTGAATGTCCTGTTCAGCCAATGCCCCTGATACACATCACATTAACACTGCACCCCTAAACTCTGAAGAGTTCCTTCTGATCCACAGATTACTGGACCCCTCCAACTCCTGGCAGTTTGACGACTTCAAGAAGTGTTACGGTGAGATCCTGCACCGATGGGGCATGAAGGACAAGAGGGCAGAGGTGCTCAAATTTGTCTCCTGTCCTCCAGAGCCACACAAAGGCATAGGTAAGTTAAAGAAACAGGGTTCCAAACTGCTTTTGGGACAGACTATCAGACTGCCACGGAAAATGTTTTTTCATCTCATTACTCATTTTGTTAAATCAAGCAAAAGGTGTGTTTACTGTACTGCACGTCTAAGAAAGTGTAGAAGTAGATAGATATGTGCGTCCTGTATTGTTGTTAAAGCGCTTGTGTGATATATGAGATGTAAAGTTGTTTAAATGGTTGGTGGAACTACTGTTCTAGACAGTTCTATAAAAGCTTCTGGTTATTTTTTTAGTGACATAATTCCTGAAAAAAATATATATATACTGTATATATATATAAACCTAAACAGTAACAAGAAAAAGTGTTGTTTTAGTTATTATTATTATTATTTGGTGTGTAATTAATACAGTTAATAAGCAAATTATTAGACGATTATTGTTATTTATAAATAAGATATAAGAATTATTATTATTATACTTGTTTATTATTATTATATTAATAATGATATTATAGTTTAATAACTATTACAGTGTATATAATAATTGGTGTTTCATTTCTAATAGTTAAATTAATTATTATGTTGGTATGCACTAAAATATGAAGCACAACAATTTTCAACATTGATCTAATAATAATAATAATTGGTGTGTAATTAATACAATTAACAATCCATTTTTCAGATATAACTATTATTACTAGTATATAGTTTAAAAATAACTAACTATATACTAATTATTTACTTTATTTAATTAAGCAATTATTTAATTGCTTATTTGTTATTATTTAATTATAGTATTAATAGAATTAATAATGTTATAATATTATAATTCTAGTAATAATAGTTGTTTTATTATTTATATTAATTATCATGATGGTTTGCACAAAAATATTAAGCAGCACAACTGTTTTCAACATAGATAATGAAAATAAATGTTTCTTGAGCAGCAAATCATGTAACACATAAAATACTTTCTAAACTGTACATTTAACATTTATTCTGGTGTAGACTTCCTATGTTTGGTGGTTTTAATAAACTAAGGAATGAGTTAAAACTATTTTCTGTGATAATCGATAAGAATTCCTTTAAGGAGCAAAGCATTGGCCTCACATTTCTGGAATGTCTGTCAGTCAATACAAAATGTTTAACACTCACATTCATGAGCCTGCATTGTGTCTTTGCTCTTATACATAGAGTTTGGCGTTTACTGCTGCCACTGTCGCAGTCAGGCCCGCGGCACCCAGTGCGCCGTCTGCAAGCGCTTCACCTTCCAGTGCGCCATCTGTCACGTGGCTGTACGCGGCTCTTCTAACTTCTGCCTGAGCTGCGGCCACGGAGGACACACCAGTCACATGATGGACTGGTTTCGCTCGCAAGAGGTCTGTCCCACCGGCTGCGGGTGCCACTGCCTGCTGCAAAGCACTTTCTGAACAATACAAACAATAAAAACCTCAAGATAAGCCTCAAAACTCTTAGTACTGTAGCAGCTCGCCGGTGGAGAGATGTTTAAGGAACACCGGCGTCATTCAGGATGGACTAACCACTGTTCAAGTGTAGAATTATGAATTATGTTCTAACGAGGCGCTGCAAATATCCACCTTATAATAGGTCAAACCAGCCTAGTTAGTAAGTGAAATTGTTATACAGTGCTGTTTTTTGCACTTTTATATCTGTTGATTTGAGTAGAGCATGTATTTGCTCTATAAGGTGCCATGGAAATTGATCTGTGAAAGGGAAAAGGGAAAAGATGCAGATTTTTATGGTTATGAAACAAAAAATATTTTTTCAAATGGATGCGTTGATCGCTCTTTTCAGTTGAAAGGAAGCTTTACAATATTTTGTTTCCCTTCAGAAGAGAATTGTTGTATGCTTTGAAGGATTGACATGTACAGTATGTGTGCCATAAAAATATTAATAAATTTGACAATACCGTGATTAGTGCTTCATAGTGTTGTTGCTGGAAACATTTCTTTACCTTTATTTTATGAAATGTGCTCATAAAAGTGTATTAACTGTCATCACTACCTCATAAATAAATTACACATGACATTTTTTAACTGAAAGAATAAAGCTAGTAAGATTGTAACAAACTTGTTTACTATGAATTATGGTTGTAAGGTCCGCGCACCTGGCCCAAGGAAGGTATACATGGTCAAACAGCCATGTTTGAATACCTTCTTATTATGTTTTTCATGTCTGTAAAACCCAATAGTCAAATGAAACTATAATGAGAGAAAGTATTTTTCCAAAAGGAGTTTCCCTCTGGGTTTGAGGATTTTTTTTTCTTTAGTTTTCAAGTTAAAAGTTAAGGATCCGTGTTTGCCGTCTTGAAGGGCACTTATGAATGTTTTTGCTAATGCAAGAACACTCTTTACAGGCGCACATCGTTATTCCCTTCATTCAGCACAAAGGAGACTTTTTTATTATGCTGTCTTGTGTTTTTTATTCATGCTAGCTCTTATTGATGTCAGCATGTTTAGTGTGTGTGAAGTGGATTAACAAGGCCTCTGTCATTGATTTACAGTTAAGTGAGGCAGCTGACCTGTCTGCGACCCTTTTCATGCATACTTGTTTCCGTCATACTGCGCAACAGTAATATTAAACATCAGGAAGGACAAAGCATTAAGATAATCCTGTTATCTAGACACGTGCATATTGTATGGGAATAGACTATGAACTTTTACCATTATTTGGAAACTTCAATATTTTCACAGTATGTACGATTATGCATATTAGAGTTTCAGACTGGATTTATAATATCATCCACTTAGAATGTTTATTTTCAAATGAATAAACCCGGAACATTTGCAAGTATAATCATAAATAAAAGCAAAGCTGTAATGTTGACATTTCTATGCAGAGGGAGGGAAAGACACTAAATGGATTTTCTCACAGTGCAAATATTGAACATACTTACAGGATGCATTTATAACAATATAAATGCTAAACAGTAGAGTACATCACAAACTACAATAATAATGAAAAAAAAACATTTATGCACTGTATAAATAGCACATTAGCTTGCCAAGATTAGCCATAAATAATGTAGTGTTATATGCTTAGATAAAACAAATCAGATACAGAGAAGTTTCTGTTGAAATTATCAAATGAATAAACCCGGAACATTTGCAAGTATAATCATAAATAAAAGCAAAGCTGTAATGTTGACATTTCTATGCAGAGGGAGGGAAAGACACTAAATGGATTTTCTCACAGTGCAAATATTGAACATACTTACAGGATGCATTTATAACAATATAAATGCTAAACAGTAGAGTACATCACAAACTACAATAATAATGAAAAAAAAAACATTTATGCACTGTATAAATAGCACATTAGCTTGCCAAGATTAGCCATAAATAATGTAGTGTTATATGCTTAGATAAAACAAATCAGATACAGAGAAGTTTCTGTTGAAATTACTGATAATAACAAGAAACTGCATGTGATCTGTGGAAAAAAATCTGCGGAAATTATGCTAAACTTTTATTTTCTCCCATAAACCAGAGGAAGTGTTTTGAAAAGCCATCAGAACCACTCTTATTTGAACAGTTATTGATTTCTTGTTCATGCAGGTTCAACTATTCAAGTTTGTCATCTGAAATCAGCATTTCCAAGAATAGAATAGAATAGGCAAGTTTATATCTGTACCACATTTAATTCTCTGACTCACAATCCAAACTATAATATTTAAGGTTATTTATTATTATTAATTTTCACATAAAATGATTATGATATATTATATTATTATACAACAAATAAATGCATTTTAAACAAATAAACAAACTTGAAGACTTAAAGGTTATAATACAGACCAAATTATGCCTCATATCTAACACCACAAACAGCACACAGAAAGTTATGATTCACATGATTTCAGTAGTAACATTGGATGTTTTTTATGGAGTCTGCAGTCAGCAGTGAAGTGATCTCCTCTGAGCTGATCTCTCATCAAGTCTCGATATTACTGATCCCACTATGACGAAGGCCAGCCTGATGAATATTAATTTAGTCTTGTGTTCAGACGTTGCTCGGTAACATTCTCAACATAATTAATATTCACAATCCGTGCCTTCCGCATAGTACGATTCGACAGGTGTTCGAGGCTTATTTACAAACGTCAGTAATTCAGCCAATCAATAAAGCTTACTGGGCTCGCGTCACATGGCTCATTAATATTCATGAGCACAGCCTTCGCCGTAGTGGGTTTGGCCGCTCAGCGCTGAGTCTTCAGCAGCAGGAGGAGAGAGAGGAGCTCGATTCAGCTGTTTGTGGCCGAAGATGGCGGAGTGTGGACGTGTTCAGCAGCAGCTGCTCCTCTTGTCTCTCTGGCTTCTCACCGTACAGGCTCTTAAACCTCTTCCAGGTTTCGGGAATGTCCGTCCTCCGGCTGCAGCTATGCACCAGCAGTTCAGAGCCGCGCTACCGAATCCCGGGAATAACGCCGCCGCCCCCGCCGCGTCCTCCGGTTCTCAGTCTAGAAGAACCACCGGCTGGAAGCTGGCAGAAGAACAGGCCTGCCGGGACGACGTGACCCGGCTGTGTCCAAAACACACCTGGACAAATAACCTGTCTGTGCTGGAATGCCTGCAGGACAAGAAGGAGGTGAGCAGGACCCCTAATGATGATGATGATTGTATATAATGTGTGTATAATAATTATTAACAAATACATAATAATGATATCATTTTATATAAATAAATGTAGTATTTTATTTTATTATACTAATTAGAATTAATATTTGTAATTTATAATATATTATAAATATTTTATCTTATAATTTTAAATAATTGCATTTTCATATATTAATAGGATTATTTATTTATTATTACTATATAATTGTATTATTGATAATAGTAACATTTGTGATTTTATTATGATGATTTTTATTGTTTTTATTATTATAAACTTGAACGCAGGGTGAATACTTTTATCTCCTATTATTTGGCTTTTTGAATTTCACACTGATTAGTGAAGTTGAGAGGATATAAGCTTTCCAGATCCAAACTCCTATTGAAACATTCAGTTCATTTATTATCAATGTATCCATTTATCTATTCGTTTATAGCCGATATTAAAGGCTTCAGAAAAGGCCTTGTTGTCTGTCTGCCCTCTGAAGACCAAGGATGCCCATAACACCTGATGAAAGCTAAATGTGAGCATTCCTGTTTATCTCAGTAGCAGCTTCTCAGTTCTGCTGCCAGGCTGTTTCCAGCCAATCATTTGAGCTGTAAATATCACGTGACTAATTACTGTGGAGCTGCAGGAAAATGACATCCTGACAATGACGATTGACTCTCTCAAGCCCTTCACAATAATGTTCTCATTAGAATGTTATATACATGACATTCCCAATCATAGTTATTAATGTTGTGCACTGCTGTTTGGGCTGCGTGTGCTGAGCTAAAGATGATCACCGGTAAACTGAAGCGCTCTTTTTAACTTAACCAAACGCATTCTATATGAGATAAATCAGATATACATCAAATAAACACAATATTACAATGTACAATTGCACAAAAGGCTGCAAACGAACAGCGCGCATCTGAAGTGTCTCTGAAGGAAATAATGCATTATTTATCGGCTTTAAGATATCGGCCAAATTTTCTTATCAGGCCGATACCGATAACAGAAAAAATGAGCCGATATGGGCCGATACCGATATGGTGGCCGATATATCGTGCATCCCTACTGGTGACTAGAATCAACTTCCTCATGGAGTCTTTAATTGCAGGTGCATACGCTCTGAATGGATATTTAAATCTATATATAGGTATGCAAACGTTTACATTTTTCTTCGGCTTTTATATAGCTGCACAAGCACAGACCTTTAATGTGGATTGGACTAATTTAAGAACAAGTTTAAAATCTAGTAACTAGATTTGTCTTTTGTAGTTTGCCATGCCGTGCTGTTTGACACAGTGACCTAGATGAGGAAACTTTTGTTCAGACACAGCAGATGCCCTGCGATAAGTTTATTGTTGGAATAAAGTTTGATCGGCATGATCAAACTCTTACAAATAAGCCAATAAAACGTACAAAATCCATCTAATATGTACACAAATCGAACTAATAATCTAACAAAAGGAGAATTCTGAAACACTTTCCAAGCGCTCAGTGACCAGGGGGTGTCAAGCACCAACAATAACATTATTATTATTATTATTATTATTATTATTATTATTTATACTTTATTGTCTTTTCATTCAATTCATTTCTTTTATAAAGTAATTCTTCACTTTTTCTTCTCCTTTATTTTCTTTAAAAAAATAGTTTTGTGGTAATATAAATATTAAAGTCTCATATTATCTCATATATTATCTCATATAGTCTCAATAAAGCTTTGTGTGTGTGTGTATATATATATATATATATCAAGTTTTCTATAGCCATGCAGTAGTTTTGTGTGATAAACAGATTGTCTCTGAAAAACAGTCACTAGATATGCAAAAACAATGGTTTATGACACTTGTCTTGATGCAACGTATTTGAATATATGCAAATTAATTTAAATTCGAGAGCTACTTTATCAGTGTGTAATTTGTTTACACTTTACACAGACTTTACACAAACGTATCATGTGGCTGCTCACCTGTAATATAGTGTACAAGTCAAACTAACTACTTTTAAAGGGTTAGTTCACCCAAAAATGAAAATTCTGTTATTAATTTATCACCCTCATGTCCTTACAAACCAGTAAGACCAGTAAAGAACATAAATTAAGATGTTTTTGATGAAATCTGAGAGCTTTCTGACCCTGCATAGACAGCAATGTGACATCAGCGGTTCAACCGTAATTTTGTGATGCTACAAGTATACTTTTTGTGTGCAAAGAAAACAAAAATAATGACTTTATTCAACAATTTCTTCTCTTTTGTGTCAGTCCCTAGATAATAAAAATGCAGCATGCTTCTTCCTCATTTGTGTTCCACAGGAACAAGAAAGTCCGTCTTTATCTATGCAGTAGACCTAAGATGTGTATGCACATTAAACATGAGCCATATTTCTTAAGCATTTGTTTTGTGCTGTTTTAAGCTGCTCCTGCCTCACTGCTTGGCTCTGATGATGCATCACTTTTCATCTGGCAATCACAAGGGCCAAGGTTCATTTGCAACTAGACACAAATTCTTTTAGGCTGAAGAATATCTTAGAGCAGCAGTTTTCTCTACTGGACTTTCACAACCTCTTGAGCTTCTGTTTAAATTAGGGCTGTCAAAATGGCTGAAAAACTACATTTGAATTTTTTACAATATTCGAATTAAATTCGAATTTAAAAGGCATAATTTCAGTTGGGGGAAAAAAAGCTTTTGGCTTCTCTCCTGAGGCCACAAGAGGGCGCATCAAGCAAAATATTATGCACTTTTCTTCAAAGCATAATAAAATAACATGACTATCTTTGAAAAAAAGTGTACATTGTTTAAAATAATGTTTATAAACCATATATAATTAATAAAGTTGCTTAAACAATTAGAAACAAAACGGCATCATGCATGTATGTTTATACAAGTATTCGAGTTTAATACAAAATACCGAAAACCAATCACAAATAGTACTTTCCTTATTTAAAAACGTCAGAGGCAGTGGAATGGGGAAAACCGCCATAAAGTCTTGAGACATGTTTTTTAAAAGTTGAACTTACATTCATTTTACATAGCTTTCTAAACATGCGGCTCTCTTGTGCGAGACGCGAGTGCAACGGTGATAGATGTCCCTCTAGAAAATGTGATAAATATGCGTTCTGTGTGAACGGCTTGGTTTCAGTTTTGACGTAAATAACATCTCCGCATTGATTGTTCTCTTTTTTTGCAATATTTTGAATGAACAACGTAGCAGCGCCGCATCTAGCGGGTTCAACTAGTTAGGCTAAAAAAGCATTAAAATGCATTGACACTTACATGGTCATCGCATCTCGTGTGCCACTGATAAGGCTGCCTGACATACACCTAAAATGTGGATTTTTATTTTAAATTCGACGAATCTTCGAAATTCGTTAAAAAAAAATTTGACAGCCCTAGTGTCTTATATTGGAGTCTCCCCCACAGGATGCTAAAATCCAGCTCTCATCGTTACAGTCACTTTAAACCCATATTGATGGCACTATGCCTCTCTCTCTTCAGTAATTCACAGACTCAGACCTCTCATTAGTGTTGAAGCGAGGTCTTGCTCTCTGGTCCATGATAACTAATTTCAACACCTGAGGGACATTTCAGATGGTGGTCTGTCTGAAGCACCACTATTATGTGTGTCCCATTAAGGGTGTCAAATCTTTGTTTCGTTAGCCTTGATATGCAATTGGATGTTCGTTTCGAGTTCATTTCTTTTTAATCAACTATTCTTGCCTCTGAAAATTAAAATGAGGGTGACTGAATGTCGTGCTCTGATGTATTCAGTGGTAATATGCTGATATTAATTGGTCTAAATGCTGTCTAAAATGAGCAGTATGTGCACATGGTGTGTGTAGCTTGCAGAGAATCTCTGAATGTGTTTGAAATCATTTCAAATGAATAGCCTTCATAAGTCTATAGATGATAATGATGAACCTACATTTACAAGAATATACATTTTAGAAGTGCAATATATTTTCTGGTACATATATATATATATATATTTATTAGTATTATTTTATACAAACACAACTTTTTATTTTTAATTAATTTTTTGGAAATGCAATATTCTGGACATATCTGGATATATGTATCATAGTGGTATATATGGAAAGTATTTTTTTTTTATTTTTTTTTTAGATGTTTGCAGTACTTTTTGGGCATGTATCATGGCATTATATATGTATAGTATTTATTAATTAAAAAAAAATTTGGGAGGATTGCAATACAGGTTTTGGGCAAGTATTGTGGTAGTATATGTATATATTTATAGTATTTATTTATTTTTATGTTTTGTTTATCCACAAATTCACAATTTAAACAAGTATCATGGTAGTATATAGAGTATTTATTAATTTATTTGTTTATTTATTTATTTTGGAAAAGTTTTTTGGACCAGTAACTTGGTAATATGTATTATATGCATAGTAATCAAACAATGCGATGATATATGTGACACTGGACCACAAAACCAATCTTAAGTCGCTGGGGTATATTTTTAGCAATATCCAAAAATACATTGTATGGGTCAAAATTATTGATTTTTCTTTTATGCCAAAAATCATTAGGATATTAAGTAAAGATCATGTTCCATGAAGATATTTTGTAAATTTCCTATTGTAAATATATTAAAACTTAATTTTTGATTAGTAATATGCATTACTAAGAACTTCATTTGGACAACTTTAAAGGTGATTTTTCTCAATATTTTGATTTTTCTTGCACCTTCAGATTCCAGATTTTCAAATAGTTGTATATCGGCCAAACAACCATACAGCAATGGAAAGCTTATTTATTCAGCTTTCAGATGATGTATAAATCTCAATTTCGAAAAATGGACCCTTATGAGTGGTTTTGTGGTCCTGGTCACATATATGCAAAAGATCCACTACAAGCATCCATGCCAACAGCAACCCTTTGGTTTTGGCATTGGCAGCAGATAGAAGATGATAATTATGCTAGCATGAATGAATCATCAAGACAAGCTGTAAGCTCGTCTCG